ATTTAATTTTATAAAAAATATTTTAACATTAGAAGTAACAACTAAATTTTAAACAAATTTGGCTTGTATTCGTTTCTCTTCTGCCCAGATTGCTTTCCTGATACTTGTGCCTTCTCCTATTCATCAGCTTATCAACCTCTGCATCCTCAGTTCTACTCAGTTCTTTTTCTTGCTACTTTTCATCAGCTACAACTTAAATGAAATTTTCTTTCTTTTTTTAAATTCTTTACATTATTTTATCTGTTTTGTATAATAAATATTTAACAGTAATATAAAAAAAAACATTCATAATTTTCCACCTGACTTTTTTAAAATTCCCAATTGAACATCCCCAAAATATATTCAAAATTAACAAACGGATAATCACATGATATCCACCTACCCCTTTACCAACCGATAGACTTCAAATCGCCCTGATTTGCTAACTAAATTTAATAATTTTGACAATTACACCCAAACTATCGAATTTCATTATCTTTCTCTTTCCATAACAACATATCCAAGTAAATTATATCTATACATATTTCGTATACTGTAAATTAAACGTTCTTAAAATTTTGAATTATAAATAATCGTCAATGAGGTTTTAAGTTTTTCTTAAATATAGTACATACATAAGTCGTAGTAAAATTCGTCTTTTCTTGTAGATCCTAGTCACATCTTAAAGCGTCGGCATATTGTGTAAAAGCATGAAGCTACACAATCTGCCGAGGCTTTTCGCAAAGATGCCACATTCAAATATCGACACTTTATAAAGTAACGATTTATAGTCGCCAGATTGTGTAACGTGTTTGTGTTTAATGTACCTGGTTCTATTGAAGCTGTTAGTAATTTTGTTATTATTTGTGATTATTATAGAGGAAAATAATGAAAAGGAGTTGTTTAGTGCATACTATATATAATTATACAAACTGTACGAGTAAAAGATCATACAACATGCACCAATTAGATAAGGCATACACAATTGTTTGAAGTTATGTTATGATTCATGAGAAATATATGTAAATACCATTACTAGATACTATAGGGTGGATCCAATAATAATTATTTATGTACTGTATATTCGTGGAGTAAATCCATATACAGGGCGTTTAAATCTTACTATAAGATTTACTATAACAAGCTTTATAGTCTAAGATCCGAAATAAGGTCGACCATCAGCCATCTGTTTAATGGATGAAACTTTCTTTTTATTAAATTAAATATGTTTTTAAATATACCGCAAATGGGTTGCCTAAGAAAATTCGGTCCAGACTATTTATTTTCTTAAAGTAAAAAAAACAACACCCTGTAAAGTATTCCCCAAATGCTTTGACTGCTATTTTAATTTAGGCAGGTTGTGTTACACACAATTTGCCGAGATGCTACGGGCTCTTTATAAAAAGTCTTGACAGAATTGTAGTTTTATGATTTTACACAATATACCGGCGCTTCATGATATGACTAATATCTTCATGAAAAGTCGTATTTCATTACAAGTCTACGACATACACATATTGGGCTGTCATTAAAAATGTAATACATAACTCCAAATTTCGTTAATCCTTTTAAATATTGATATAATGTAAAATAGGTATATACTACCAATCAGGTACATACTCATACATGGAAGTAGAGGTAGGAAGATACTGTCACGTGGTCCAAGACGGGTTCACTTCCGCCATATTAGGTTGAGCTTCAGTCAGCTAATCGTGGTTTCAATCAACGTTTTTTGTATTGTACATATTAAAAGTTAAACATTGGTTGCTTGTGCTCAACGTATTTTTAGCAAACATAGATATTTGTATAAAGAAATTATCTGAAATAACATTCCACAACTAAACATACAACATAGTAAACAATGTACAGGGTCCAATTTGAGATATTAATTGTGCTTTGAGTGAAAGTGTTGTAACCATATTAGGGTTTTGTAAAGATGAATTAAAAATGAGAGAATTTGCTGCAGTTGGTGCAAAAATTAGATTTAAAATAATCATAAATATATTGTTTGTTTTCTTAAATTCTATAAATTTACTTCAGTTTCATTATAAAAAGCATTTGTCTTTAAAAAAATTATGAAAGTATAGAAACTTTTTAAATGACATGGAAAGGTATATTAATGCCTTAAAAACACGTAATTTACAACCAGTGGCGGTTTGCCCGTAAGGGCACTTGGGCACGTGCCCTAGTATAATAAACAAAAAAAAACTTACATATTTTATATTTTCCTCAATGCCTATTATTATTTTATCTAATATTCAGCGCAAACCGCGTTGGCACGACACTGGACGACCGGATGTTGAGCGACGTTCCCAGAATTCCGAAAGAAGATGGGCACAGGGCACAGTAAATGTGTGCTTCTGTTATTTTCTCTCACATTATGATGCGAAAAAAAAGGACAACGACAATATCGCTTAGCAAGAGATGAACACATGCGATGGATTATACGTCACAAGCAGGGCGCTGTCCTAGACCAGATATGAATGTACGCAGAGGCATCTTTAACGGCTGGCTCTCTCACAAAGGTAATGTCGGTTTCGGCCGAAGGTGCACGTTTGTTGGACCATGATAATATATTTATTTATTGGAATAGTTAAGAAATAAAACTACAAAGAAAAATAACTTTTTTTTATAAAGCAGTCAAAAATATGATGAAAAATAATATTTATAAATGGGACAAAATTTTTATTTTTCTTTTGGTTTTGTCTGACTTTTTCGAGGATTTCAAATCTCTGTTTGCATATATAAGAGTATAAAATATTCTCTAGTCTTGTAAATAATTTAATGGTGTACATTTTTGCAAATTATTGGCAAGGATGACCAAATTCTATTTTGCATATCTCAAAAAGATATGCGTTGGAAATTCCAGGCTTAGTTGACAAACTATCAAATAGAGATATAAATATTTTTTCTAATTTGAATATATAAAAGAGACATTTTTCGCTGGGAGATTTTAAATTGCCAAACACCTTTTCTTCAGAGTCGTATGCTTTAAAATGCGTTAACAAATTAGAATTGTTAAGTAAATTGCATTCTTCTGAGAAATTTACGCAAATTTGGCAAGAGTGGATATGTAATGATTTTTTGATTAAATAGCCACATACATAGTTAAATGCATTTTGAGTGATCACATTTAGCTCCCTGTAGTCACATTCAGAAATCGTTATTGCCGAAACTGATTGTTTTGAAATATATTTAATTTTCAGAGGAGAACTTCCTAAGGGAAAAACGAATCTCGGGATTTCTTTCCAGTGTGTGCCCCACTGCCTCTAGTGCCCACTCACATCAAATATCTCAATTTCTGGGGGGCTATTTTCAAACTCGAGAAAAAGTGATTTCTCTCAAGATTTTCATGAGAAATATAATACGTCATCGTAAAGACAGTATTTTTAAAGCCAGTGAAAACTAGCAGAATGTTTCTTTTGGTTTATTTAGAGAGCATTAAAATTCTTCCAAGAATTTTAATTTTCGTTGGCTTTAAAAATACTGTTTTCACGTTGACTTATGACATTTCACATGAAAATCTTGAGAAAAATGTACTATTAAATTTGAAAATAAGTCCGTAACTTACAAAAATTATTAGTAGGTACATGTTGAAGTTACCGTGGAAATTGTATTCCTCTAGAAAGACTTTGAATTTTAAAATATCCCATTCGTCAAATCAACGAATCATCAAGAGACTATAGAGCTCTTGGCTTATCGGAGAGTTACGATAGTGTGCTAGACGTTACTGAGCATGATAAAATTGTTTACTAAATTCCACGAAATCGGGATTTATAAAATATATTATACATATATTAAAAGTGACCATATTTTGAAAAGTAGAAAGCGAGACAAATCGAAAACAAGAATATATTTCTACGAATTTTCTTTGCAGTGGTGATGGTTTGGTTCATTTGAGAGCAAAAAAATATACATAAAAGAGTGGGATGTCACGTCACCATAAAAATTAAAATATTTACATTTTTGCGTTAAACAAAAGCAGGACACATGTTAAATTGTGACTAGTGGTTTAAAATCGGGACTGTCCCTCCTAAATCGGGACAAATATTTTCGTTTATTGACAAAAAAAAACTAATAAACCCTATACTTATATTCCTTGATGCTCTATGAATGTTTTTAATGTGAACAAATAATAAAAAGGAGCTATTACTTTAAATTATCCACCCCATTTTAGTAAAATGTGTAGTGTGTTCAGTGCTACAAGTAATTTATAAATTAAAATATATTTGCAAATTGTACAGTTTAGATCAGCATCCCTTGTATAATCTAACAAATATACAAATTTTAGAATGTTTTACCTCATTAAAAATAAAATAAAAAAAAGTGATAGCGTAAGACATCATAACAATAACATTGTATTTTTTAATGGCTAACATAAACATAATTTTTATATTATTTGTTATTTTGCCATAAAATAATTTTCTAATAATACCTATCAACTGTTTGATTATTCTATGTTATATCAGTTTAGGTCTGAAATAACAGGTATGTTAAACCATGATATATTAAGTGAAATTTCTAGACTTTGTTATTCTATAAAATATTATCTTTCACTTGCACATTTTTTATTCCTTGAAACTTATTTTATCAATAAGTGGAATTCTCGGTGGAATTACTAAAAATTAGTTTTTATGGTCTTAATCATCCATTTTATAACAATTAATAAATATTGCTAAAATTTTCTAAAAAAAAAAATAAAAATGTAGATTTGGATTTCATTCAGAAAAGTCCGTATCTGGCGGATCGGCCATATTGGATTGACAACATCCACGCCAAGTGATACCGCATTGAATGTTTGTAAAAGATACTTATAGCGTCTCCCTACCTTACAACTAACTCCATGTACGTATTATTTGATAAAATCGGTATCTACTCACATAATATTTAAGGTGTATCATTCATACTAATTTTAATACTTCTAAACGGATATTGGTGATAAGACTTGGCAGCATGGCTTTCTCTTAATAAAATCAGTAAAAACGAAACGGGCCAACCAGACCTGTCACTAAGTCACGACTTAGTCACTGTAGTAGGTAGAAAACCGCTAACATATAATGTCGGTGACGAGGTTAGGTAGCGTGTATACATTTTAGCTTATTTTGACAGTGAAAAATTCAAATGTCAACCGCGAAAACAGGGCAAATGTTGTCTTTTTGACCGAATTTGCGGAAAATATGAATGCCAGAATGAGCAGCTATAAAGGAAGCCAACTCTTCGCGAGTTTGGCGGAAAATGTGGGGTTAGAAACGGACCAAATGAACTTTGTAATGAGCCAGATTATGGCTTTGCTATTGTCAACATTATACCGAACTATGTTACACCCTTCGAAGACCAGTCCTCAAGTTAGACATACGTTTGGACTAGTTATTGGATTATTTATGGGATACTTTTGTTTTGGATTGCAAGCAGTACATTTGGCAGTTTTACCAACTGTGTGTTATTTGGTAAGATATTTAAATTATTTAATTCATCTAATTATGTTGTTTGTATTAGAAATACAGAGCCCTTAGTTTATTTGTTGTGCAATAAACATTACCTAGACAACCGAAATGTTTTCAGAATTAACGCTTATGTTTGTATATAGTGTGTATCTTTATAAGATTCCTGACCTAGCCCTCAAATTATTTGTTATGCACCAAACATTACATTTAAATACCTAGATAGATATTCGAAATGCCTTCAGAATTAACTTGTAAATTTGTATCTTTTTAAAATCTTGACCTATAATTACATTTTTATAGTTAGGTATCTTCACATTTTATCTCGCATTTTATTGAGGTGAATATTTAATTACCTTTGTTTTCAATTGAAACAAATCCACATTCTAGGTATTACCTACTCACTCAGGTATTTTTATTGAATAGTATTCTTATCAGGTTTCTAAAAATTAAGAAACAAAAATAGATAATATATTACATAGGGTAGTTAAGAAAATATTACAATATTACAAACATTGTAGGTATATATTTCGACAAATTACTCATACGAAAATAAAATTTAAAGAATGTTTCAATATCAGATGTCACATAGGTTTCTGGCTGGCTAACATCATTTGAGTTATTTGACAAGAAATATTTTTACAAAATATGGTTGACCTACTTACCTACATGGGATGAAACAAATCTTTTACAGAATAAACTCAAATCAACCCTTTGTCGAACCCTTACTAGAATTCATTTTGAAAATAGAATATGTACGTACCTATGTTTTCTTTTTCCGAACTCATTTCAGTGATAGGCATACTCTTGCTCTTATTTTTGGCTTTTGTTCAAAATTTGATTTGATAACAACCAAATTTAATTCACATCTCTGATACAATGCCAGTTTTAAAAGATGTGCACAGCACAGAATAATTTTCAGTACTTTCACTTATATGAGTTCATAACCAGAATATTTATTCTTAAGATTGGCAATTGTTTTGTCCAGTTTAGGTATTTAATATTTTAGAATTTTGTAAATTGTACTGCTCACCTCAAATTTTAATTCCTTAAATTATTTATTAGCAGAAGGGATACCTGCCTAAATATCATTAACAATTAGGTATTAAAAAAAGTTATTTTGTTAGTTTTTCGAGGAGTTTTCTATATTATTATTATTTTGTCAAAAATATAAAAAAGAATAATACATATCTAATCCTCGTATTAATCAATAGTCTTCATTTGTCTTTATATTAATTGCTTAAGTGTCTACCACATTTTTTACTACTACCTATGATGCTTCACACTGATTACATTTTCATACTATTTCTTCTGTTTTTGTTGTTTCTTATATATTTAATTAAAAATATCGTCAATAAACTTAAAAATGTTGTATAAGCCATTTTAAAGACCTAAAAAACGTATTTGGAGGTCTTGCTATGTAATGATTTATTATTTTTTTAATTATAATAATGTATTGAATCATTCATACTAAAAATTATACCTAGATTTTCGTGCTAAATATTGGTTTTTGTAATTTTTAAAAAGTAAGATTTAACTGCAGAATCGCGCGATTTTAAAGACCTAAAAAACGTATTTGGAGGTCTTGCTATGTAATGGTTTATTATTTTTTTAATTATAATAATGTATTGAATTATTCATACTAAAAATTATACCTAGATTTTCGTGCTAAATATTGGTTTTTGTAATTTTTAAAAAGTAAGATTTAACTGCAGAATCGCGCGATTTTAAAGACCTAAAAAACGTATTTGGAGGTCTTGCTATGTAATGGTTTATTAATTTTTTAATTATAATAATGTATTGAATTATTCATACTAAAAATTATACCTAGATTTTCGTGCTAAATATTGGTTTTTGTAATTTTTAAAAAGTAAGATTTAACTGCGGAATCGCGCGATTTTAAAGACCTAAAATAACCGAGTAAAAAACGTATTTGGAGGTCTTGCTATGTAATAATTTATTATTTTTTTGAATTATGATAATGTATTGAATCATTCGTACTAAAAATTGTACCTGGATTCTAGTGCTAAATATTGATTTTTGCCATTTTAATGACGTAAGGTATAACCGCGGAATTGCGCATTTTTAAAGACCTAAAAAACGTATTTGGAGTTCTTGCTATGTAATGATTTATTATTTTTTTGAATTATAATAATGTATTGAGTCATTCATACTAAAAATTATTCCTGGATTTTCGTGCTAAGATTGGTTTTTGTCATTTTTGTAAAATAAGGTTGAACCGCGGAATCGCGCTATTTTAAAGACCTAAAAAACGTATTTGGAGGTCTTGGTGTGTAATGATTCATAATTTTTCTTGCATGATACTAATGTATTGAATCATTCGTATTAAAAATTATATCTGGAATTTCGTGCTAAATATTAGTTTTTGATATTTTGGTAGAATAATGTTTTTCCACGGAACCACGCCTTTTTAAAGGCCTAAAAAATGTAATTAGAGGTCTTGCTATTTGATAATTTATTATTTTTTTTTTATTGATACTTTATTATTGAATCTTTGGTATACAAATTTTATTTGGAATCTCGTGTTAAAAGTTTGTTTTTGTTGATTTTATTGATTTTATTGAGTAATAGGTATTTATCCACGAAAACTCTCGACTTTAAAGATCTAAAAACTATATTTAGATATCTTGCTATTTAATAATTTTTTAATTTATATTATAGCTGGTGGTGTACTAAATTATTGGTATACAAATCGTATTTGTAATCTCGCGCTAAATGTATTTTTTTGGTCTCTTTGTTTTCATAGTCGTTTGACGACAAAACACCCGACTTTTAAAAAACCAAAAAAATATATTTTAAATCAATGCTCGGCCATAATTTTTTGTTTAACAATTAACAAAAATCTAATGAATATATGTTATAAAACTTATATTTATAATCGCATTGTAAATGTGTTTGTTTCGTCACCGTCTTTGTATAGAAATATCTTATTTTAGCTAATAATTCAAATTAAATTAATCAATTTTTTTCAATAAATACACTAATTTTTATTTATTTCTTAACTTTCATGATACTAAAATCCACTTAAAACAAAGATTTTGCGGAATAACAATATCCAAACATTAAGGGACCGCGGGTTTGTCTGCTAGTTTGTCTCCTAGCTTCAGCCTCATAGTCTGTCTCTTTCTTTTTGTCCTTTTTCGACTTCCTTGTCTAGCCATTGATTTTGATTTATTGCATGCTCTCACTTTTAATGATGCCTTATTGGTTATTTACAGTGTTAATTACATACTATTTAAATTATTTTTTAAAATTTTTATTCAAACATTTGCAGCTGTAGACGTTTATTCCCAGTTCTGATCCAGTAATTCCCGGTTTATCGCTTTTTTTACACCTGTCCAAATTTCGATTATGCAGCATACTTACTTCCGGATGATCTTCACACCAAATTTAATGGTCTCTTATCATAAATTAGAATAAAGTTACAAAATGATAAATATACCATTTGGTCAAACAGGTCCAATTCGACGTCCTGGTGACCCCTTTTCATTTACCACCGGGCTTTTGCTGGCTTGATATTTTTAGGAGTGTTTTTTATGGCTCATCTGAAACAGAAAATTCTAGTCTAGTCTGTATCTAGACTAGAGCATGGGTTCCCAATGGGAGCAGTACCGCCCTCCAGTGGGCTGGAATTTTCTGTGGTGACGGTAACGGATCCAGATACAAATAGGGGGTGTAGGGCAATCAAGAAGGGTGATTCCTACCCTATCACCACCAAAATATAAAAATATCTATTTAAAAAAAGCTAAGTAAATTATCTTATTGTTAAAACATTCACGCAAATACGCAGTTCATGTCATCCAACAAGAACGTGAAAACTTGAAATTACAATCTGTAAAAGTGATAACTCCAGAAATGTTTTATTATTTTATCTACTAATAAATTATATATTCTTTATTCAACTGCTTTTAAACAATTAATAGTGTCCATTAACAAACAGCGTGAGTTATTATTATAATAGTGAATTATTATAACTCACGCTAGGCTCCTACGACAATTCGATATGTAATTATTTTAAGTTGTTTTATGGTTGCAGCATAATTGCACTCTATGCAAGTTACAGATTTAAAATATCATGGATATATTTTTATGGTCTGTGTATCGAATACAAAAACAAACATTTTCAGAACATTCACTGTTACGGGAAATTTTTATAGTATCGAATCTCACCGAAATAGGTACGTTTCTACTATACCCTTCGTGTGACGAAGTCTTTAATTCGAGGGACGCTAAAATGGTGGTTCCCACCTTATCGAGACTGATGCCCAAAAGGGTAAACTCGTAGCGTAACAAAAACGAGAAATGATTTAACTTGGATCGAAAGACCGAAAGCCGATAGTAGTATTAGGACGTTGGATTTTTTGGTTTGTAAAGCATTGGCATTAATTAGGTTAAACCATGTGACGATTTTCACAAGCCTTGATTTTTAAAACCATTCTATATCGTCTTTTGATTGGGGTTTACAAACTTGTTTGAGCAATTTATCCAATAACAATTGGCCTATTTATATAATATTAATAAAGGACAGAAGGATGAGTATTGCAACTATGTTAAAAGAAATAAATTGACTTTTAGTTCAGAATTATGTTCAGTACATGACTGATATTTATTTATAAAATAAAAATGACATCGCATCAGATCTATTGAAAAAATTCAGTATAATTCGCAATATCACAACTATAATACAAGAAGTCAATCTGACTTTCATGTACGGCAAGCCATCACTAAAAGTTACCAAAATACAATTTTTATTAAAGGTTTAAAAAATTTAATAGACTGCCTTCAAAAATTAAAAAAAAAAACAGCAGTAAATGTATTCAAAAGCAACCTCAAACAATACTTGATAAATAAACAGGACGGATATACTTTCTTGTGATAATACTCTTTAAATCTGCTCTTTTTAAGTATTTCCCTTAATTTATTATTATTTTACCCTTCGTTTTACCCGCATTTATTATAAATTATTTCTGTTTTAAAATCATGTA